TGCGCTTAAAGGCCAATGCATCAAGCGGGGAATGGGCATGGCTGGAGGAGAAAGAGAGGGGTGGACAGTTTTTTTTCCAAGTGAGGTGAAACATTAAGTAAAACGGACAAATGTGGCGACCTCATGATTGGAGCGGACCATCGTGACACAGTTCCTGGCAAAGGATCCTCCATTCTATGTGGCATAAGCTTCTATGTTTCATAATCTAACATATCGAAGTTAAAGAGGCACCATTATCTGTGGCTATGAGGTGATTGCCAAACACTTTATAAAAGTCACGATTATCCTCTTCGCCTGTATAGTTAACTCTATTAAATTGGCAGGGTGTCATATACATGATTTTTTCAAAATATGCCCCTATTAAGGCAGCAATGAGGAAAAGTACCAAAAAAATCCTAAACCTATTGCATTAGTACTAACTCAGTCCTAAACCTTTCAATTTGATCAATTTAGTCATAAACATTTTCACATTTGTACTAATTCAATTCATCCGGCCAATTTAAGCCAGAAATCGATGACGTCGACGCCGGCGGTCCCATGCGACACTGTCGGTGCTAACGTGGACAAATTTTATATTTTTTTAATAATTTTTTCAAATTTTTTTACTCTTTTTTTTCTTATTTTTCTTTTCCAAGAATTGGTTGGCCGGCGAGGTCGCCAGCCGACCATCGCTGACCACAGGCTGGTCTAGGTGAGGGCCGCCGTGCCCTCGCGCCGACGAGGGCGTGGCGGCCCTCACCCAGATCCAGGCGAAGGCGTCGCCGCCCTCGTCTATTGGCCGGCGATGGTCGGTCGGCAACCTCACCGGGCCACCAGTTTTGGGAAAAGAAAAAAGAAAATAACATTAAAAAATGAAAAAAAAGTATTAAAAAATTATAAAATTTGTCAACATTAACACGGCGGTCCTTCAACACTAGTTGTGCCACGTAGGACCATCAACGTCCATGTTAGCAATTTCCGGCCTAAATTTACCGAATGGATTGAATTAGTACCAATGTAAAAAAGTTTATGACTAAATTGGTCTAATTGAAAAGTTTAGGACTGAGTTGGTACCAATGTAATAAGTTTAGGATTTTTTTCGTAGTTTTTTCGGCAGCAATATGAATGTTGTTAGCTTGTTGCAACTTTGACCAAGTTAAAGACATGCGCAACATAAAAGAAAATTATTCCATCGTAAACCGAACTGGAGTTGAGTAGTAGTTCTCCTGCAAGAGCATTGTGGGGCTTACAGAACTTTAGGTCTTGTCAGGTCACGTCCTATAATTGGTTAGATTGAATATCCATGCTCCGCAAAAAGTCGTTAAGTTGTCCGTTTTCTTCTTAAAAAACCTATCTGCTATGGGGGACCTCCACGTCCTTTGCCAAAGTTATGAAACCTAACTACTGATTAACGGGATGAAAGTGAAGCCATATCCAAATGATCTAATCAGAGCAGAAGAAGCAAACATTACATACACTATAGTCTATACACCATGTTGATCATTCAACAGAAGAAGTCGCATGGCATTCTACTCCAACGATAGTGAAATGGCAGGGAGATTGCGAAAAAAAATTCATAAACCTATTGCATTTGTACCAAATCAGTCATAAACCTTTCGATTTAGTCAATTTAGTCATGAACTTTTTGAAAATTTACCAATTAAATTTTTCTGGCCAATTTTAACCGAAAATCACTAACGTAAATACTGGTCGTACAACGTGACATGGCCGGCGTTGTGGTGGACAATTTTTGTAATTTTTTAAAATTTTTATTTTTATTTTTTCCTTTTCTTTGTGTCAGCGAGGGCTATCTCGCCCGTGGTTGGCAGGGTCGCGAAGGCTCTCACCCGTGGCTGGCGATAGAGGTGATCAGTTCCAAGGTAGGTAAGTTCCAAACTTGGAACACACCCTCTTGGATCTGATTTCTAGTTTTTGGAACTTAAAACCTAACCTATTTACCTTAGAACCAAATTAAGTTTTTCCGATCTGGTTCTAAGGTCTGCTCGAAAATCTGTTTTTCTTTCGTTCCTTTTTTTTGTTTCATTTTTTACGACATAATTATATGAGTGTTGACACCTATTTTTTTATTTGCCCAAAGTTAATTATGCAAAAATTTGGGAATTAATTTTTTAATTCTTAAAACAAAGATATTTTTTTATCTAATTGCATTGCATATAGATATTAGGCACATTTGTATTAATAGGGTCTATTAGAGCATATTTTCTTAATAAATTTTTAAAAAATTAATTAAAAATTATTATTAAAAAGTTAAAAATAATAATAAAATTCATATCGGGCCATGCCGGGACTGACCCAACCTGACCCCCTCTTCCTCTTCCCCTCGCCCGCACGGGGGCCTTCTCCCCTTATCTCCCTCCTTCGCGCGACCGACGGCCCAGCCTTTCCCTTCGCCCACGCACAGACTGGCCGTCTCTTCCCCATGCCCGGGCACAGCCGAACCCCTCTCCCTCTTTCCTCTTCCCCTCCCCCGCTGCCATGGAAGCGAGATACAGAGGAGCAGAACGTCTACCCTACACCGGCCTAAAATGGCCACAAATGTCAAGGACGTAGAGTAGGCTGGTGCAGGTGAGTTAATGGCAATTAATGGAGAAGAGACAGGTTGTCTTTGGCCATAAAAGACCAGAGAAGAAGAGAGGGAGGCTCGGACAGGGGCGGGCAACAAAGAGAACCAAAAACAAACAGAGCAAAGAAGAGATCGAGAGATTTAGAGAGAACAGAGAGATCCAAAGGGAAAAGAGAGTGAGAGTGAGTGAGTACATAGCGTGAGGAGGTCTCGACAGCCTTTCAGTCGCCTGTGAGCCGACCGGCGACCCCCAGAAACGGCCTCGACCGGTAAGCTTACTTCGGTCCCTATTTTTCCCTATTTTTGTGTACGAGATGGCCAAGATTCACGCCGGCCATTTCGTGTGAATCCTGGCCCATGCTGTCATTCCCCGCAACCTATACGTCGTCGCTAAAGGTAAGCCCAAATCGCCGAAGGACGTTGGAGCCCCGAAACAAGTCAAAGTTGTTTCGTTTTAGCCGTTCACACTAGGTGTTTGTTGAAATGCCTCAATGAGGTTAATTTAGTTTTGGTCACCGGCCGCCGAGCGGGTGGTCGGACGGCGAACTAGGTAGCTGTGGGGCTTCGTGGTGGTCCTTAGGGGTGAAAACTAGGCCGGAGCCGGCTTGGATCAGCCAGCAAGAGGCCAAATCTCGCTTGGCCGGCGTCCCCGCGTGCTTTTGCACGCGGGAACCGACCTGACCTGATTCAGTACCCGGGTCAATGACTCGGGTTGACCCCTAATCTGTTCGGATCCAAAAATCCGACCCGTGTCAATGCTTTGGGTTGGATCCATTAACCCAGGTTGGATTTAACCCAACCCGGTTGATTATTATATTAATATATTATTATTTTTTATTTAAAAATTTAAAAAAATTTAATTTTTTAAAATCGTGTTTATTATTATTATTATTATTATTATTTCTAAAAAAATATATAAAAAATTAAAAAATTGTTTTTTATTTTCTTTAAAATTAGGAAATAGTTTAGAAAATAGTTTTTTTTAATATTTCTATAAATTATGTGAATTATTTGATTAATGATCATGTTTAAATTGCATAAGCCTATAGGGCTATACGGTAATATTTTGCATGTTATTTTTATTACTGTTATATTATTATTATGCATGTTATGTCTAATTACTATATAATTGCATAAATTGTTCTGTTTTGAAAATTGTTGCTTTAGTTAGGGCTAGAACCTTACACTGCATATTTAGTTTGATTGCTAATCGTTAATGATTGTGTACTCGCTTGATCATCTCACATGTTAGAAGAAAGATTCTAAAATCAATTAAAGTTGCCTGACAAATATTTTTTGAAATGAACAGGGCAAAAAGGTACCGAAAGGGCATTAATTATCCAACTAGTGTAACCAAGTCCCTGAACTCATTTAATCTCTAGTTCGTAGGAGTAGGATGATTCTCCCGTCACCTTACTTGGGTTTCTAATCAACCTACCCCAAATTGATTAGTGGCAACTCCCAAATAAAAATCATTTGCAGGTTAAAAAACCTAAATTCTAAGTCGCGATATGGTATGATTTTGGAAGAGCCCGAGTTAAGTTCCAGATCTAAACTTAGCTCGTACTAGACGAGACCCCCCTTTTTTATGTCAAAAGACAGAGGTCGGTCGCGACAATGAACAACAAAATAGTTCAAAGTAAAAAATGAGAGAGAGAGAGAGAGAGAGAGAGAGAGAGAGAGAGATCAAAGGCTAGTCAACTCAAAATTGGGGGCGAGCCACGGGTGAGCAAGGAGGAGGGCGAGTTGTGAGTTTGTGAGCAAGAGAGAGAAAGAGAGAGTTGTTAAGTGTCTGAGTGAAGCTGAAGAAAACAAATAAAAAGAGAGATAGAGAAAAAGATGCCTAGAGAAAAATTAAGGATTTTAGATTTTATGAAACAGATTTCAAATGCGGTCCGATTCCTGGATGGTTATCCACGTGAAACCAGGAACTGGATCAGTTCCCACTGGTTAAAAAAATTTGGAATAGGGAACCGGAACCGTTCCAATGGGAACCTGGAACTGGACCAATTTTCAAGGCAGTCCGATCCGGTTCCCAAGTAAAACTGATCTAGTTGCACAGCCCTAGCCGGCGAGGCCGCAATTTGCAGCCAGCGAGGGTTGTCGGTGACCCTCACCGGCACAATGAAAATAATAATAATAAATTCTAAAAAAATTCTGAAAATTATAATAACCATTGACGTTAAAGCCGGTCATGCTACGTAAGACGGTTGTCGTCTATGTCAACGGTTTCTGGCCAATATTGGCCGGAAGAACTCAATTGGCAAATTGTCAAAAGGTTTAAGACTAAATTTGCCAAATTGAAAGGTTTATGATTGAATTGGCACAAATACAATAGGCTTAGGATATTTTGGGTAATTTTCCCAACACAATTCATTTTATTTCCATCGACCTTTGAAAAAAAAAGAAAAAAGAAAATTACTTTGACAACCAAGACGAATCAAGGGTCTATCGGTCCCAACTTACAATTACAGAATCATATGGAGCTGTCTACTTGGTGTTTGATAAACAATTCTTGTTCAATGAAGCCAAAACCAGCAATAGTCCAGTTTCCTTGATTTTTCATATGATGGTAACACACGCTGCCCGATCAACCCCACATGTTGGCCTCGTCGAGCCGTACGAAGTTGAGGCACTCGTCGTTGAGCCACCCGTACTTCTCCATGAACGGGTTGTCGAGGCTGGCCCTTGGGTAGTCCTTGAGGCTGTCCTCCCACACGTTCGGCCTGTCCAGGTCCCTCATCACCTCCCACACGCACGTGTTGCTCTTGAACCCGGCCCCGAGGCTTATCATCAGCACCTTGTCCCCTCTCTTCAGCCGCTTCTTCGCCTCCATGTAACCCAGCACGTACCAGTTCCCACCCGCTGATGTGTTCCCGAACCGGTGCAGCGCCATCCTCGACGGCTCGAGGTCATAGTCGCTCAAATTCAAACCCTTCCCAACAGTGTCGACCACCGCCTTGCCTCCTGGGTGGACGCAGAAGTGGTCGATCCCGGACTTGAGGTTCAAGCCACCACGGGCCTTGCGAGTCTTTCTCTTGGCGAACGGGTTGTTCGCAAGGGCGTTGGCGAGCTTGTAGTGGACGAGCTCACGGATAGGGAGGACCTGGGGCAGCAGGATCCGGAGGTTTGCCTCGAGGGCCTGCGCGGCGGCCTTGACGAGGTATTTCGTGAGGCGGAACCCCTGGTGGCCCAGCTCGTCCTCCGCCTGAATGCAGCAGCTGTAGGACTCGTCATGCGAGCCGTGGTGGATGCGGACGGAGCGCCCTAGCTTCATGACGGCCCTGTCCTTGGCCCGGGCCCGGTCGTTGGTGAGGAGGATGGCGCAGCCGCCCATGCGGAAGAGGCAGTTGGATATGATCATGGACTTCTCCTTGCCGCAGTACCAGTGGGAGCCCATGCTCTCGGTGCTGACGACGAGGGCGAGCGCGTTGTCCCGCGTTTTGAAGAGCTCTTGGACCAGGTGAATAGCGACTAGGCTCGCGCTGCAGCCCATGCCTGCAAGAGTCGGTCTAGGCATTAGGAAGGAGAGGGCAAGAGAACACTGAATCATGAAGAAGAATTTGCTCGCCATACACGGTGAGTTTAGTAGATTTATAAATAGATGGGTACTAAAATAAAAAGACAAAAATCTCAAATCCGATAAATCTACTTGAACAAAATTAAGTCCGATTATGTTTCGGCTTCGACTGGGGCTCTGATCATAAATCAAGAATACTCTAATCAATTATGACAAATCTAATGATGTTATATCATGATTTGATAAAATTGTATTATCTATGGATATTGTTTACCTCAACGAAGCATGTTCAAAAGATGGAATGGTGTTTTTGCTTAAAACAGCAGCTAAAAACGGACCCTTAGCTGTTTACATCAGACATATAAAAATTGCAAAGAAGAATAATAGGAGAATTGGACATGTAAACAGGCCTTCGTTCGGGCATAAAATCCGTTAAACCAGATTCAACCAAATCGAATCGGGTCCTTTTCATTTTGAGTTTAGAGTCATTAGGCATTTCATATCGGTTGTGTTTTCGGAGTCGAACCGTCCCCAGTACCTGCTAGATTGAAGGTCTTGATGTCGTCCCTGAGCTTGAAGTGGTTCACGATCCTCGACGTCAGCGATGGTGCCGGCGAGAACAGCGACACGTTGACGATGAGGATGTCGATCTCGGACGGCGCCACCCCGGTGCTGGCAAGCACCTTGCTGACCGTCTGCTGGAACACCTCGTCGAGCTCCTGGTAGGCCCCGAGCAGGGTCGGGGCCTCCTCGTGACCCTCGAGCACGAGCCTCGGCCCGTAGGTGTCATTGCCGATCCCGGACCGGACCATCGTCTTGAGTAGGAACCGGTAGTCATCGAGGTTGAGGTTCTTGTTGCGGAGGATGACGCGGACGCAGTTGTCGGTGTCGAGCTTCGTGTCCTCAGGGGCCTTGTAGCACTCGTAGCCGAGCATGTAGCAGCACTGGCCGCGGCGGCGGAGGAAGCCCCGGACGAGGCTGAGCACGGCGTAGGTCGCCGCGAGGACGTACAGTGTTGCAAGGAGTGTGATCTCCATTGGAGTGAACTGAGAGAGATTGAGAGAGAGAGAGAGAGAGAGAGAGAGAGAGAGAGAGAGAGACTTCACTAACCCTTATGTCCTAGGGTTATGTCTTGTGGGAGTTAGCATTGGGTTACTGCATTTATAATCACGGGAATCCAAGGTGGTGTTCATTCTATCTACCAAGAACAACGGTTACCCACTTCGGATTACGATGTCGCAACACCAACGGTTACCAAAACCCCGTTTTAATTGCATTTGATCTCATCTGAGTGTGTCGCCTTTCATTAGTGTCTGCATCGATTTATTTAATGTTTTCTGGACGAGTCTGAGGTTCATAATGATGAATTCCATCTACCAACGAGCATTTCAACCACTTCTTGCCGGGCTTTCCATCGGTACCGTCGTATTAGTTTCTAACCTGGTTTTGTTGTTTTTGGCAAAGGTTTTCAGTCGACATGCGTTGCGCTCATACTATTCATGATCTCTCCTAGGAGAGGAGGTAGATAAGAACAACGAAAGTAAGTCAGAATGTTGCCCTCAACAAGCGGTTTCGTTCTTTTTTCTTATTGCTCAGGGACACGAGCGCAAAAGCCTGACTATGTCGAGAGCCATAGGGCATCAGCGTACTCCATGACTCTGTCAGGTCAGGGCATTCGACATCTACAAGCGGCCCCGATCGAGAGGAATCTGCGCGTAGTTTGTGAATCTGAACAGGTAACCACCTGATTCTGGACTGGAAATCCGCCGATGCCCCGACCGACTGAGCCGACCCTATGGGACTCGAACTTTCGAGTTCTTGTCCTCAGAATTTGGGGAAAAAAATAGATTTTGGGAGGAAATAGAACTAGTCGAAAGCCCTACGTTGTCAATTTCAGTATCGTCCGTGGTAATTATGTGTTGTTTTGGGAAAAAGTAATGTTGAATGTCATGAAATTTTCTATTTAACGAAACCACATCGCTTTATGCGTATTAAATGAGGAAGACAAAGCTCGTACGAAGTAGGGCATCGTCCTTTTCCATCTCCTACATCTCTTATCTAATCTCTCGGGTGAATTCCCCAAACAGCCCCAAACTTTAGGTCAAGTTTCAAATTTGCCCCGAACTTTTTTTTATCTCGGAAAAAACCTCAAACTTTATATCTAATCCCAAATCTACTCTGAAATTTTTTTGTCTCAGAAAAAATCCCAAACTTTAAGTTCAGTCCTAAATTTGCCCCGAATTTTATTTTATGTAAAAAAATCAGCAAATTTCAATTTATTTTCAAAAATATATCCGTGATCCAGTCCCAACTTGGCGTGACACTTTCATGTCGATAACAAATCATCATCAACAAAGTAACGGAGCAATAGATACAGACCTACGTCGCATTTCCACTTCGATAACAAAACAAACCAAATAAAAATTGTTGAAATTCTCCCAAATAAAACCATTCTAGGATATGAAAGTTAGAGATGATAACAAATCCATCCCAAAAAACTTTTTTTAATTTTAAAAAAAAAAAACCTAACTTTTAGGTTCAATCCAAATTTGCTCCGAACTTTTTTTTGTCTAAAAAAAAGCCCCATTATTTTGTTGATGTAGATTTGTTATCGACGTGAAAATGTTACGTTAAGTTGGGACTGGATCACAGGGATATATTTTTGAAAATAAAATTGAATTTTGGTGATTTTTTTACACAAAACAAAATTCGGGGCAAATTTGAAACTGGACTTAAAGTTTGGGATTTTTTCTGAGATAAAAAAAGTTTGGGGCAGATTTGGAATTGGACCTAAAGTTTGAGACTTTTTCTGAGACAAAAAAAAATTCGAGATAGATTTAGGACTTGACCTAAAGTCAATGGGGGTTTTTTAGGAAATTAGACCCAATCTCTCTATCAGCAATTAATATTTCGTACCAATATGGAAAGCTGGAGTTGCAGAGTCAAACGAACAATAAACACATGCACGCCCAAGGAAGAGACAGAAGCAAAAATTGTAGAAGCGACTGATTAATGACTGGTCACCGTCTAGGAAATGGTGAATTTAGGGTTTTCAAAACTTACGATAAGACAAGAAATGGAAAAAAAGAAGCTCTTAGAACAACAGAGGAAAAAGCATTAGGTGGTAGCTCCAAATTGGTAGAGCGGGTGGCGGCAACAGATTTCTAGCTGAAAAATTAAATGGTCATTTATGCATATCCCATCGATTACATGCAAATTGTTAAGATCGCCTGTGCAAACTAAAGATCCGGTCTTAACTGATTCATTGGTCTCATGGGGATGGTCCATAGAATCTCAAGTAGTTGGTTCTCTACGTTCGTGATTTCGAATTATTGAAAACAAAATTGAAGAAAATTGATGAGAGAGCTTGATACAACCATTCGAGGGTGTGAAGAATTCAAAGATTTTGCTTTTCCTTAGGTTATTGTCAATCTGCCATGCTGATCAGTGTGTGGCCTCTGCACGTCCATATGCTCAAGGATTAGAATAGGATAAAATAATGATGAAAAATGTGATTGAATTATTATATCCGATCTTTTATTTATAAAACGCACCAGATATTAGGGCGAATCTTCATATACAGATGAGAAACTCAAGCAAGTTACTTAAAAGCACTAAACAAAAAACATTGAGAGGGACGCGGTGGTTGCAGGTTCACTTTCGCAGCGGTGGCCTTGCCCATTTAATGGCGACCACTACCCGTCGTGACATCTGTCCGCGACAAGAGAAAGAGGGAGAATGGTAGGGATTTGGATCTCCATCGCAAGGATGGCCGCCTTCACGGAGTGTCGCGTCGATGACAGCCACCATGACGGCGGTCTCGAGAGCCGGCACGGTCGTCGATCCCCCATAAAACTAGAAAGAAAGACGAGGTAACCAGAGGGCTAAGAGGCTCAACTCTCAAGCGACGGGGTCATCCGAGAAGTGCAACCGTCAATATATAGACAAGCGATAGGCTTTTCTTGACCTCTATATATAGATATAATTTTATGAGAAAAAGATAGGACTCGATATCTGAGTATGAAATCCCAAGTGCATATGCACCTCTTTACCCCATGGGACAATAGAAATGCTAAAACTTTCATACGACGCCCGCTTCAGTGTCAAAACTTTTCGAGCAATCATATAAGTGCCACTTTACCATCGCCGATTTGTGTGGCTGAAAAATCCGACATGGGAATTCTTAACGCCGGCAAAGTGAGTCAGCATAATTGATGCTAAATGGCGATGTTTAACACATTTATTTGCCCCCCGATTAAGGAACTGGGGCTAAATGGCAATGTTCTTCTTCATACCCCAACCCTAAATTGAGGAATTGGGGCAGAAAAGAAGACGACTACAGACGAAAGAAGCTGAGAAGGCGATGTTCGTTGCCTACCTTATTTCCAAGGAACCCTAACCTTTGCTTCAGAGGAAAGAACATTTTTTCGGAGATTAATATGAAGACCAAGAAGAAAAAGTAGGAGAAGAGAAGGCAAATTAGTGAGTTAAATAAATAATTTGCTAGGTTATCGTGCCACTTGTCCATGTTGGAGTTCAATTTTTTTAAAAAAGCCACGTTGGAATTAAAATTTCATTAAAAAAAGTCACATTGGACGAATTACCAGAAACACTTAAATGATCATTTTTTCACTAATGTGACACTTGAATCATCGCTCGAAAAGTTTTAGCACTTAAGTGAGCGTAATATGAAAATCTTGACATTTCATGTATCATGTTTACTGTATTTTAATGTTTTAGTCTTAAGCGAAAGTTTAATTTACGCATGAGATGAAGTATCATGCCTTCATCCGATAGATTAATTTTCATAAAACAATTGGCAACCGTCCCATAAAACATTTGAAAGATCTTATGGGGGAAATGATAGCAACCTCAAATTGTGCATTTTAATCTTGAACTGCAATGCGAAATCCGAGCTTGCCTTATGGGCGAGATCCTATGACATACTCCCCTAGAACCGTTTCCGATCAACAACCGAATCGCGAGGTTTTAGCTATATACATGTGACGGGCCGAGCATCGAACCATAATCTCGAACACGACGAGGGTGTACCGATGGTGTACCTATGGAATAATGACTTGAAAGCATTAAAAAAGCGAGATACGGGAGCAATGCTCTTGGAGGCATCGAACCGTAATCTCAAACACGACGAGGGCGTACCGATGGCGTACCTATGGAATAATGACTTGAAAGCATTAAAAAAGCGTGACCACTTCTCATATAGCCAATACCCGATGCGCGACGACCTGGCGATCTGCAGTTCGTGTCGTGCGAGCGATGCCAACAAGGGGGCAACCTGTAAATGCAGAAGGCATGGGTCCACTCCATAGCCAACACTGAGCACAAAATGAAGAGAGCCACCACCCAAAACTGTGAGGTCAAAAGTTGCAGTAGCATTTAACGCAGGAACAGGGACAGAAGATGACACCTCCCTCAGTCCGCCAACTTTTATTTAGTTTGGCCCCAATGCTTCTGTTCCCCCATTGATTACCAGAGAGAAAAGGTCCACGCTGCAACCTGCCCAACGGCTACTTTATGAGCATCATTATCAGCCTAATGAAGGCTAATTTCACAGATGATCTTGATATTTTCGCAAGGGAAGTGCGGGAGGGGCCGGTGGTGGGATCGGCTTAGACTTAGGGCGTGAATAATAAAATTTATCTTTTCCGGCTTTATTTCTGGCTAGAAATAAAAATCTATTTCTATTCTCCAAATAAATTTTTGAGCAAAGAGAAGCGTTTGATAACTATACAAAATTTATGTTCCTGAAATAGAAATTCATTTGAAAGGTTAGGGTGCGTATGATAATGTTTCTATTTCTGGGAACAATTTCTTTTCAGAAATAGTTTTTTCTATTTCTATTTCCTGGAAAAGTTTCTGAGCAAAATAATGCGTTTGGTAACTGCACAAAATTTCTATTTCTAGAACAGAAATGTGTTTGGTAACTGCACAAAATTTCTATTCCTGAAATAAAAAAAGAACATAAATGCGTTTGGTAACTGTACAAAATTTCTATTCCCAATTTTTTGCATTCAAATCTATATCTTTTATTTAACTATAAGTACAAGTTATAAGTAAAAAAAATCAATAAGCATGATTTATTGGTTTGTCTAATCCTTTTTAGGGGTTTAAAACCCCTTTTAATCCCTAAAT